AGTGGTGTTTATAAGCTGCAGCTCCGAAAAGATAACTGTGTTGCGTGTGAACAGGCATTCATATGCACATGCAGCAACAGCTATGGGCACCAGTTCAGACAAAATAGGCTACAGCTAGGATGGCACTCCACCTAGATGTGCATAGTTTTAAAACAATCCAATGGTTATGCGTAATATGGATGCACACCTCTCAGTCAATACTGCCTACCAAATATTCAGCAAAGCCATAGGATAAGTATTTTATAGCTACAGCTGCAGTCTATAGGCTTATTTTTACATTGTATAGCCAAAGTTAATTGTATAATATTGTGAAAATAGGACAAATGATTAGGTAGCAGAATCCAAAGCTCAGTGTTATATATAGTTTGGCTGCAATTACAGCATTGAGCCTGTGTGAATAGTTCTCAGTCAGCCTTGCACATCTGATCACTGCAGTTTTACCCCAATCTTTTATGGAAGACTGTCAGGTTGCACAGAGGTTGTAATTGAACAGCCCTTTAGTTGGATAGTTGGATTGAGGTCTGATCTCTGATTTGGCCACTCTGGAACATTCAGCTTGTCGTGTATAACCACTTTTTCATAGCTTTCTTGTATGCTTCGGCTAATTGTCTTGCTGGAAAGCAAATCTTCGCCCAAGTTGTAGTTCTCTGCTGACTGCACCAGGGTATTTCTATGCATGCTGCATTAATGTTATTCTCTACCTTTACAAGTCTTCCAGCACCTGCTGCCAAGAAGCATCATGATGCTGCCACCACCATGCTTCATGGTGGGTGTGGTGTATTTGTGATGATGTGTTGTGTTTGGTGTCCACCAAACTATGAATCTACTCTGATGGCCAGAAAGCTCAATTTTGTTCTCATGAGACCAAAAAAACCTTCTTCCAGTTGACTACAGAGCCTCCCACATGCCTTCTGCCAAACTCTAGTTGAGATTTATTGCAAACTTGTTTTTAAACAGAAACTTTTTATTTTGGTCACTGTCCCATAAAGCTTTGACTAGTTAAGAACAAGCAACAGTCTCTACCATCTCAGACATTAAAGCTTGTGACTCCTTTTGAGGATTTTGCCTTGGTGACCTCCCTCTTTAATCTCTTTTTTACATGTTCACTCAGTTTTTAAAGATGGCCTGCTCTTTCGTTTAGTCATAGCCAAGAGTACAGATTCACCAATGACTGTCTCAAGTGATTGTCTTTATATTACAATCTCTTGAAACACATTCACTGGATATCAGATGATCTCCATTTCACTAATTGTCTAACTTGTAGCAACAATTGGCTGAATCTGTGTTGAATTAGGTGAATCAATGTAAGGGGTAGGGATACTTGTGCAATCACCTATTTTCTATTTTACATCTTTAATTAGTTCGCATTACATTGTAAAAATGTGTGTTCACTTTGACATTAAAGAGTCTTTTTTTGTAAATTCTTGTCAAAAAAGCCAAATTAAATCAATTGTTATTCAATGGTAATAAAAGCAACTAAAGATGAACATTTTCAAGAAGGGTTAATACTTTTTATATAAATATTATACACAATAAATATTGTTAGTTAAATATTCGTTCTGTCCTCTATAGGCCTACGTATGGAGCAAACTGTTATAAAGGAGAGAGGTTTGTAGTGGGACAACTGGGGTGTCAGGTGTGAAGTTGTGACAATGGTAAATGGTTTACATGTCTCACTGATCAGCTACAGCCCCTGAGCAGAATTTTGCTCAGGGCCCTAGGGAGGTCAGGCCCAGCTCTGTAGCCAAAGAATACTGATTGCTATTAATATGTATAGTCTGTTCTCTGTATAACAAAGTGAATGGTACATTTGTTCTGTGCATGAGGTCTTATTGTCCTTGAAGCATGAAGTGTCAGCAAATAGCGTGGCACTATGTAGACAAATGCTAACACTTAGCCAGTGATGAGAGTGATTATTATTCAAATATGCAGTACATATAAGTCCCAGACTGTTTGTTGAGTTGGAAAATCATGACTTATAAATACGCCACTGTGGGTTTTTATACTGAAGAAATATGACATTGGGTCATCACGAATAAAATGTCTGTCCCCACTGCACTGAATAAAATCAATAAGTACAGTCCTTGTTTTTGAATGTTTGAGAAAAGGGAAAACATTAGAGACCATCTCAACCCTGCTGTATTTCCAGCCTTTGTTTGTAATAAATTGTGGCTTTGAAAGGGGATGAGATAAATCAGATTTGTCCCTCCCAGGACTGATTGTCTGCGGTTCCTGTTTTAACATTTAGGGCACTCAAATGCTTCATACTGTCAATAAAAAAGACACAGACCTTCATACCCTCAAGTATAGTTTAAATTAAATAAATGATGCCAAATGCAATATATTAAAGTTACAAAATAGGGAATTTTTCTCTGACCTCACACTTAATTGAACTCAGGTGTGGCAAATGGGTCTAACATACACCAATCTGCCACTATATTAAAACCACAGAGAGGTGCAGTGATTAACGTTGATTATGTTGTTACAATGGCACATGTCAAAAGGTTGGCATGTTTTAGGCAGCAAGTGAACAGTTGTTGAGGTTAAGTTAGAGTTGATGTCTTGGAAAAATGGGCAGCATAAGACCCTGAGCAACTTTGACAATTACCAAATTTTGATGGCTGTACAACTGGGACAGAGTATTTGCCAAATGGTAGTTCTTTTGGGTGTTCCAAGTATGCAGTGTTTAGAACCTACAAAACGTGCTCCAAGTAAGGACAACCAGTAAACAGGGGTCATAGGTGCTCAAGGCTCATTAACCAGGACTTTCATCTTGCCATACGTAGAAGGTCTTTCAGGGTTCATTGGACCCCAAGAAAGAATATGTGCAAAATATTTTTTGGTATAGACTTTCATACTATGTTAAATACATTTTCTGATAAATTGACGTTGACAGCTTCCTTCCACAGTCCAAAAACATGTTAAGGTTAATTGTATTCATAAATTATCCACAGGTGTAAATGTGAGTGTGCTTGTTGTCTTTCTGTATATCCCTGCGATAGACCAGCGACCTGTCCAGGATGTCCCCTACCTCCACCCTGAGTTGTACCCCCCTCTCCCCCTGACCCTATATTAACATTAATGGATGGATACCTTGGAGCATGTGTGTGCACTGTGTCATTGTCCCATAGTACATCCTGAAAGTGATGGATGCACTAAGGGAAGAAGGCAAGGTGGCAGAGGGAGTGTGATGACCAATGTTTTGCTAGGAAACCTTGGGTCCTAGCATTCATGTGCATGTTTATTAGACTCGTACTCCCTAAACAATGTTGCAGACCACGTACACCTCTTCATGGTAATCGTATCCCCTAATGGCGGTGGTCTCTCTCAGCAGTATAATGCTCCCTTCAACACTGCAAAAATTACTTGACTTGGCCTCCTAATTCCCCAGTTTTCAAATTCAATCTAAGCATCTTTGGAATGTGTTGGAAAAACAGGTCTGATCCGTGGAGCCTCACTTGATGTAAGTCATCTCAGGGTACTTTACTTAGTAAGGTCAACAGACAGGTAGTGGTGCTTCAGCATGCATGGCTTTGGGCCACGGGCTGCCTGGTACAGAAGGTCGGGCGTTCAAGCCCCAGAACCAACGAACTGATACTTTTTAGCCCTTGAGCAAAAGTATCAGTTTGCTCCTTAACCCTCTCTGCTCAGGGGTGCTGTAGTGTGACTGACCCTGTGCTCTGAACCCAGCTGCCTAACAAGCTATATCTGTGAAAAGACAACTGCAAGATCAAAGCAATATACCAAAGACCTTAGAATATTATATTATTGAGAGGAATCCAACAATTACTAAGTGACAGGGGAAAGAAAAATCCCTCTTTTAAGAGAAAGAAACTTCTGGTTGGGGTGAGCCGTTTTGGCAGCACCAGTCGGTCCTACACAGTATTGGTGTTTTAATGTTTTCTTGTGTAACAAACTGTGGGTGTGGCGTTTACAAGACTTGGACATTTGCTAGTATTATGCATTATGAGAAACATAGAAAGACAGGATATTTTTCCCTCGGTTGCTTTACTTTTGAGTTGTATTATAACTTTTGTGAGTCTGTGGAAGTGCATCTCGTAGACCAGTCATGCCCCTGCCAACATCCCCTGTTATCCACTTGGATAACAATAAGGTCAACATTGGGGCAGATACCGATCTAGTCTGTCCATGTACATCCATCCCTACTGGAAAGAAAAACAAATGTTATTATGCTTATAACTGTTTCTGCTTGCATTTCATGTATCACCTATGAGAGTTTGATGACATATGCCGCATCCAGCCCCCGAAAGCACTTTATTGCAATTTTCAGCTGCTATTCAGTTATTCAGCAAAATAAACAAAAGCAAACAAACAACCAGGAAATGTATTTTGGCTCTGGAAAGTCAGAGTTTTTCTTAAATAAACATTTTTGGCTCTAAGCCCCAAAACAACTCTTCTCCGAGTTGTTTCTGTAATCTCCTGCATGCAGCATTGTGCACACTTAACCTTGCAGTAAGCTATTGCTTTATTCTGTGAAGCCTAAATAATACAGTTCTGAGAGGGCAAATCAAATACTCCCTGAGAAACAGTCTGCAGCAGATCTCAATCTCCTGAGGCGCCGTTTGTACGGTTTGGACGCGGTTACAGAACGTCCTGCGGGCAGCAATAATTTAGAGTTTCAGGAGATTCTAGATTGTAATTCACCTTATCAGCCAGCTGTGTTTTTGCTGAGTGGTGGATTAGTCATTGAATTGCTGTCCACGTTAGACTGTTGCTTGTAATCCATCATTGCAAAGCAGCCCGCCTTCTTCCCAACACTCCCAGCAGCAGCAGCAGCAGCAGCAGCAGCAGCAGCAGCGGCAGAGCACACTCCTAACTCCTTGCTCAGTCCCACTCATTGAGCATTCCTGTTTTATAATTGGTTTGGCAGCATGAAGGAGGGTTAGATGAGAGTTTAATGCATGCTTTACGTTAATGCGAAATGTGTTGATATTTCAAATAAACGCAAGGTGATTTGTCATGCTTGTTCTCTTTAACAGATTGAGAAGATTATGAACTTGATTGGAGCAGGCATTGAAACATCCAAAAACAGACAGCCCACACCAAGCACAGGTAATACTTCAAACCCTATTTTGCAGTCATGATAACAGACTTTATTTGTGCACTCTGGAGTGTTTGTTTTTTTTTCTCAGAGATATGACTATGTGGTGTGTAATTTATAATTTGGATAATTCAAAGTGACAACTGGCTCTGGAGATTAAGTGAGTCTTCATTCATTAACCATTTATCCAACTCTTAATTACCCTTGGGGCTGCATTGATGACAGTCCTTCAGAGTTTATTGAACAGAAATTATATGTAATATTTGCAGCAACCAAACACTGTGCAACTGTTAAGATTCACGAGCAGCAACTGCTTTTCTAAGAGCTGCTATCTAGCGGTTAGTCTTACTGTTCGTACAAGTCCCAGAAATTGAAGCTGACATTTGTTTGTTGGCACATCCTTGTTGCTATTTGTTACACACGAGGTTTCCACTTTATGGGAAATCTGATTCTAAATTCCCCTTGCTGTCGTATTTTTTACTCGAGTTACTGTATATCTCAATAGGGCTCGAATTGATAGTACGCTTCATCAAGTGTCCTTCAGGCAATGCAGAGGGAGAAGCCAGCTGGCATCAGCTCGGTTTGTTTAGATAACACTCCTGAGTGGATACAGTGTAAACCTACCTCCATTAGATACTCTGCCATAAGGAGGTTCATCATACGGGGTTGTGTAACAGCTTTTCGAAGCAAAGGGCTGCTTTTTACATGTCTCATCACATTTATTTAGATAAAATTCTCATTAGTTATGCGCAGCATGCTTCGTGGATTACCAGCATCTGCTGACCACAGCAAGGTGTAACACCACCCAGTGCAGAAACAGTAAAATAGTTGTGATTAAAAAAACATTAAGGTGGACGTTAAAAAATAAAAATAAAAAACTGACATGGAATTTAAATGAATGGACTTAATGCTGTAGAACCATTTAGTGTTTTAGTCAAAACACTAAAATACATTTAAACTGTAACTACAAAACTAATGTAAACTGAGAAACAAATATTACAAATAATGCATAAATAAAACAAAACAATTATCAGCCACAATTACCTCTTTCACCATTATATTCTATTCATTAATGCAGTTTTAGACCAAATGGAGTCACGTTTTAAACAAAGCTGTCCACTGCAGCATTAATTTATGATTTTAATAGAAACTGGACTTCCAGCTCACCGAGCATTCTTAGATTAATTGCTATCCAAACAATTAAGACCTGAAGTTATTCCACATTACGTAAGAGGAAACATGGTGTTTGTTTTCCCTTTTTTTCCACACTTATAGGTGTGCGCTATTTATAGTCGCCGTTTGAAGGATGGCATGCTGAAAGTGTCCCAGATTCAGCTGAGTCATGCAGTTGCTGCTCCGATTTTAATCGGAGATTGTGCACAAGTAGTTCTGGAGGTTGTGAGAATGCTTTTGTTGCTGTTTTTGTATGTGTCTCTCAGTAAAGAGGTCATGCTTCTTCTTTTTTTTTTTCTCCCCACAATGTAATAAAAGGGAACAAACAGGTACCCTTCAGAATAATCACCAGGAGAGGGAGGGAGACAGAGAGAGGAGGGGAGATGCACAGGAGAAGAAGGATTACACAAAGATGGAAACCTAAATTGTAAATCTTCATCCGACTTTTATCTTTTTATTGTGACAGAAGCGGAAACACCTTATCCTCTATCCCTGTTTTGTGCATTTTCAGTTTTCCTTGTATAGCCACACTGACTGTCCCTCTCGTATCCGAAGTCAAGGATGGTCAGTTCATCTTCTGCTTCAGATTTCAGAACATCAGATTTTTGCGTCTAACAAAAACATGTTTGTGCAATTTTGCGACCGCTCAAGGATGAGGTTGTTTGTGTTGTGTGTCCGTCAAGAGTGCGTCGATTGTGTGCTAAGAGAGCAACTGAGTAAATGAGCTTAAAAAGAGCGAGCGAGCGGAGAGAGCGAGCACAGCTAACAGCACACAGGAGGCATCGGCTCAGTTTGTGTACAGGCATGCTGACGTTCAAAGGAAAAGAGTCCGCCTTCAGTTTCCCTGAATTAATTCAGCTTTGCGGCTCATTTTCTCCAGTGCTTGGGTGTGTTGACAAGGAGCTACTGCTTTTTCTTCTGCTCTGATAAAGAGGCACGGCTTTATCTAGGCACAACCTCAACCTTCTTCCTCAGTAAATAGGCCTTTCTGGGCACTCGTTGGAGCCAAGTCTAGACCTCGCAAACAGAACAGAAACCCACATGGATAGATGTGACAGCTTGGCCTGTTTAACAGGGGATAAGACAGTGACCCAGTTCCCCCCCACCCAACGAACGAAGGAGCATTGGATACTCTGTAAGTCAGTAATTAGGTCCTACTATCGTGGGAGGTGTTGCTGTCCCAAATGAATGGAAGTAATTGGGTGGGGTGGCTGGTATTTTTAACACTCTTTGTCTGGATCTTGTGGCGTAAAAGCTGAGTTTGGGATGAGGCTCAGGAGGAAAGAGTAAAGAAGGAGGAGGAGGAGTTGTGGGATCTTGTAGTGAATCATAATTAGTCCACTTCAATCCTTCTTACTTCCTATTACCATCTTATCTCGTCCATATGTTTCATCGCCTCCTCCTCTATTAGTCTTTTTCTGTCTTATCTGCCTCTTGCTCATTCTCTCCTTCCCCCGTCTTCTCTCCTTCCCTCTTTCCATCATTCTTCTCCTCAGTCAGAGCAAATCTGATAGCAGCCTCTCCTCCCGATAACGAATGATGAGCGCAGGTCCTTGCGGATGACTGACGGGTCACGGAGATCTGACCTGGCCTTTTACCTGATTGTTAACGCCAGAGCAACAGGGGTATAGGTGGCCAATTACGGAGGAGGTTCAATCAATAGCCCTTCACTTTGCCTTCCCCTCCGTTGTCACTGCTTCTCATTGCCCTGACTGCCTGGCTGACTGGCTGACTACCCGTCTGGGAATGTGTGAGGTGATTGCAAGCAACTTGAAAAGCCTGCATAATTACGCTCTGCCTGCAGCTGTACCCAGATAACACCAGTGTCGGACTCAGTAAGCAGCAGCCCTGCATAGGTGGGTGCGAGGGTAAAATGGTGCTGTGTAGTTTTTTTTTTTTATCTTTTACCCCGAATCTATCTGAATTTTATATCAACTCACTTGCTTATCTAGGCTTTTCCTGTAAGTAGCCTCTGTTGTACGCTAAAAATGGTTGACGTGACATGAGCATCTGGAAGTACATAATGGAATTTGCTTCTTTTCTGTCATGCTGCATAACTGGGCGAGATGGAGAAAAGACAGGTCTCGAAGAGTGTTCTTCTCTTCTCTTCTCTTCTCTTCTCTTCTCTTCTCTTCTCTTCTCTTCTCTTCTCTTCTCTTCTCTTCTCTTCTCTTCTCTTCTCTTCTCCTGTACAAGTGCATTAGAGACTCTGCTGACTTGAATCAATGCTGCCCCCCCTTGTCTTATCATCAAAGTAAGATGTAAATGAATTAAAGCCTTCTGGTAATAAGCAGGGGTTTGAGGAGACTCTTTGTTAACCACCAAAAAAAAAAAAAAAAAAAAACCTGCCGTTGCTCCTGCAGAACAGGATGGAGGTTCCGTCATCCCTTTACGCTCTAATCATTCTTTGCACACACACACGTTAAAAAAAGAAGAAAAAAGAAAAAAAAAAGACTGTGATTCTCGGCTCTCAGTGCTTGTTTCTTGCCTCTGATCCTGGTGTCCTTTCTGCACTGGCAAGATCAGAGTGCTTCTGTGCAATTCTAATCAGTGCAGTGGAGGGAGAGAGGGGGGAGAGGTAGGTTAAGGAGACACCGAGCGAGTCAGTGTGTGTGCATTTGTATGAGAAAGAAAAAAGGGGGGGTAAGATAGGAGGGGAAACGGGGTAGAGAGGCAGACTGTGAAGAGGGAGAAGGAGTGTTTGCATTTTTCTGTGTGTTTGAGAGGCAAAGAAGCGAGACAGAGTGAGGGAGAGTGCGAGCCAAGCAGAGAGAGAGAGAGAGAGACAGAGAGCGAGAGCAGCAGAGGGAGGGGAATTGATATAGTGGGAGAGAGAGGGAGAGGTGGTTACGTGGAGCAGCACCCCACTTCATCAGGCAGCATACGGCAGCCCTGCAGTGCGATCACACAGTATGGGAATGGGGCTATGAGATCGAGAGCGAGAGAAAGAAAAGCAGAGAGAGAGCAAGAAGAGGGGTGGGGGGGAGTTAAAAAAGAAGAGCTTGAGGGATTTGCTCAGATGAAAAGGGGGGGATGATCACTGAGTCCGTTGCCTGTCGTGGATGCGGGAAGGATGTGGCAGCAGTGGCTGAGGCTGAGGCGCATCCGTGGTCTCCTGTGTTGAAGTAGCCGGCGTCAGGACGTTATGCCCTGTGAGCAGTGAGGGGTAGCGCGTGTGAGCCAGGAGCAGCTGCTGTGACTGCATCTGCGCTGCCTGCATGTCTCAGACAGGCAGGGGATGCAGCAAACCTCTGCCCTGAGCACACAGGCTGCTAGCTGTACCCAGCGAGGAGAAGAGCCAGGTGGGCTGGGGTGGGAGCGAGGGGGCGCCTGCCTTAGGAAGGAGCTAGCTTAACCTGCACTGTGGTCCTGCAGTGATCCCAGCTCTCAGAGTCAAGAGGCTCACCTGCCCGTCTCACTGGATGTGAACCTGGATTTTACTGCTTTGAGAGATGAGAAGCACGTTCTGTGGCGGAGCCGCACAGCCAGCAGCCTGCTGAAGAGTGTGAATGCTGGGCAGCACAGGGAGCACTGGCACCACCAAGGACACACAGCCTTTTTCCACTGGCAGACAGCTTACCTGGAGCTTTATCAAGGAATATATACTTGGATTTGATTATGAATTGAGGAGTTTGGAATCGGCACACTGTGGAAATCCTAAGCCAACGTTTCTTTGATGTAGGATTTACAATATGTCTACCTGACCGTACTCCGTGTGGCTCTGGAGTAAGGACAAAATATGATTTAAGCAAATGTGTATTCCTTGATCAAAAAATAACATGAGTACCTCAACAGTACTTTAGAATGCTGCTACCTTCATTGTATGAGCCTTGTCCTAGCTCTCAAAGAGGTTGACCAATGAAGCCATGGGACTCAGCCAGAGCTTTACAAGTATGTGGTGAAAAGCCTGACAAATTCATTTTGGGGGAACTGAATATTTCTGTGTTACATCCTGATGGAGTAATTTCTGATTTTAGAATAAATGACGGGGATATTTTTAGCAGAGTAAATAATGTGTGCTATATGAAAATGTCTAATTTAGTGACAAATAATTTCCATTTTCCCTCAACCTGAAAATTATCCGGTCTCTTGACTTGTAGTGTTCAGTATTGTTATGTTTTTTTGGACTAGCTAGGCACTTGTTTTTACACTTGCTCATCTGCTCACTAAAGGAATGTTTAGTGAGCCCTGTTTGTTGGAAGATGCCGTAGTGGCTCAGTCCAACATAACTAACAATACCAAGCTTCAGATGGGCTTCTTTCCCTGCACTACCTCCACCCTCGCCTGACATTTCCAGTCAGTCACACTAACACCAGTGGGTGTATATTAGCCTAGTCAGTCCCCTGCAGGGCTCGAGCGGTGCCTGCAGCACTTCCTACCCTCCTCCTGTGTTTTGAGTTTAGCCGGGCCCCCGCCTGTACTGTGGGAGCCCCTCACCCCCGGCCTGGACCCTGTCTCCCCCCCACCCCGCCTGGTGCTGCTGCACTCGGCTCTGCCTCTGCTGGCCGAGGATGATGTGGCAATGCCATGTGTCGTCCTCTGAGTGCCGCTGCTACCGGCTGAACGGCTTCTCCCTGCTGAAGCGCTTCCCTCTCTCGGCAGATGGGGCCTGTGGTAAAGCCCTGGACCAGCCGGTGGGAGAGTGGCTGGAGCACGTGGGGCTGCCGCAGTACGAGAGCAAGTTCCTGCTCAATGGCTTTGACGACCTACGATTCATGGTGAGTCACCTGCAGCATGTCATCTCAGGGGTCACTTCCACTTTACATCACCCTGTCTCTCCCTGTGTCAGCCAAGCTGCATTTGTCTTTTTGTGTCACCACTCTGCTCTCTCACCCTTTGCTTGTCTCTTAGTAGCTCCACCCCCCCCAACCCTCACCCTCACCCTCCCATCCCCCCTTTATTTTGCTTCCTCACTCACCCTTTCACCCTTCTTCCCTCTCCCCTTCATAACGCCTCTTCACCTCGGTGCGATGCATGACCCCGCTAAGATTTATGGGCGCTCGCTGGATCCTTTTAAAGAGTATAGCCTGTCACCAGTGGTAAGACAAATGACAACCGAAACCCATTAACTTTCTTCCCCAGCATTCCCAATCATGCTATCTCATTTACTGTAAATTTCTACAGTTACCTCCTCTCCCCTCTGTATTGAATCCTCCTGATTTACAGACCCTGGACTTTAACCTGTGTAGATTTAGTCAGATGACCAAAATAAATAAATACATAAATAAATATCCCTCAATTTAGACACACTGTGGTGTACTCCAAATACTCTTTGCATGGTTGCTTGCAGAATCTCACAAAATCCCTCACCCGTTATGCTCTGCACTGTTCTTGTGGTGCTTATGAGACAGTCTTGCAATAACTGCACATAGTATGATTATACTGCAGCAGCATGCTCTAATGCTGCATTTACTTACGGCATACTGGTGGATGTTAGAATTTAATAACACGTGTTTGCATGCGGATGTTTATTTTGGTTTTAAATGTATTATTTACCCAATAAGTAAATATCCACATAAATTTCCCACCACGGGGGTTAAAAAAATATGATCACAGAGAATCAGTGTTTTGCATTTTTGAAGTGCCTCAGTCAGATTATGTATTAATGAATTAATTTAACCGCAGCTCGAAAGACGTCCACAATCTGACTAAAAGCGTTATCGTGTTTCTCGTAAAGAACATAGCAAGGAAACTCGATATTGCATTTGGCAGTGATTGTAGAACATTACATTTTCCATCCACTGGTCATGTTTCTCTAAAAACATGGCTGTGCACTGTAAATAAGTAGGCCCAAAGGGTAAATGTGGACATTTCTCAGACCACTGAACTGCATTAACACAATAGGTTATACAGCAATCAGCCACAACAATAAAACCCACAGAATAAAACTGTGTAGTTCCCACTCTGACACGTCAACGCCTGGACTCCACACAGCTCTGAATACGTGTCCTGTGGTATCAGGCACCAAGACGGCAGATCCTGTCCTGAGATGACTCATGTTGTGAATTGGTGCTATATAAATAGAACTGAACTGAGTTGCCAGGTGGGACCTCCTTGGATCGGGCTTGTTTTTTTTTTTGTTTTTTTTTCACAACATCCCACAGATGCTTGATCGGATTGAGATCTGGGGAATTTGGAGGCCAAGTCAACACCTGGAGCTCTTTGTCATGTTCCTAAAACCGTCACTAAACAATTTTTGCAGTGGCAGGGAGCATTGTTCTGCTACGAGAGGCCGCTGCTGTCAGGGAATATTGATGCCATGAAGGGGTGTGCATGGTCTGCAACAATGTTTCGACAGGCGGCACGTGTTAAAGTAAAATCCTCATCTATGTTAGGACCACATGAGCATTATCCACTGCCTCCACAGATGTGCCTTCTTCACACAGTGCATCTTGCTGACATCTTTTCCTAGGTGAATGACATACACATCCAAAAGATAGAAAAGAAAGCAGGATTCATCAGAATAGGCCGCCATCTTCCAATGCTCAATGGTCTAATATTCATGTGCCCATTTGCGGTAGTTTTTGGCAGTAGACAGGGCTTAGCAGTGAAACTCTGTGTGGCTCCGCAGCAAGTGGATCCACTGTGCGGTCAGACATCTTTCCATCAGAGCCAACATTAAGCTTTTTCTTTTTACAATTTTAGCTATAGTAGCTCTTCTGTGTGATCCAACTACATGTGCCAGCCTTTGCTCCCCGTGCACATCAGTGAGCCTCAGGAGCTAATGACCCTGTTTGCCGGTTCATCGGGTGTCCTTCCTTTGAACACTTTTGGTGGCTACTAACCACTGCATACTGGGAATACCTCACCAGATCTGCCTTCATGCTCTGACCCAGCCGTCTATCCATCATAATTTGGCCCTTGTCAAAGTCACTCAGATCGTCACGCTTGCCCAGTTTTCCTACTTCCAACGCATGAACATCAAGAACTGAGTGTTCACTCGCTGCCTGATGAATCCCAACAATTGAAATGTGCCACTATAACGAGATAATCAATATTATTTACTTAACCAGTCAGTGGTTTTAATGTTGTGGCTGATCTGTGTGTACGTTACAGCTGAGCTCAGTTAAGTGACACCAGAGAGAAAGTGATTGTATTCATAAAGCGTTCTAGTTGAGAAGTGCTGCTCTCAGTTTTGTTTTTCTTCCTGGATGGCATGAGATTACAATATAGTGGGAGTACTTAAGAGCATTTGATGGCTCCTACAATCAGATGTGCTGCAGATACAAGCTTTAGGCTGAGATTTACATTAGTCCATGAGATGACACCAAGACTACAAGATTCATAATGTTTGTGCTTAGAGCGAAGGAATACAGTACAAGTATGGATTAACACTAGACCAATAAGTCACTTAAAATCTATTTTCCAATATTATTGCAGATATAATGGTATTCATGGATAGAAAAGTGCATTAGGCAATTGCTAATGAATGACATGTTTGAGATCATTTAGAAACATAATGATTTAGAAATGCCATTTGTCCAATGATGGGAAAATTATGGGAAAGTAATTTCTCAACTATAAAATGTACAACTCAGCACATGTTAAGGATGTGTCGATTCACTTATTCCCCTCAGAATACCTAAATGCAACGTATCTGTTGAAAGCCAGTTGTGATCCCTTTCTAGTTCTCTGATTTTCCCACTTTTTAACTCCCTATATGTTACTGCTCGTGACTCACAGACACACTTTTTATGTGAAGTAACATGAGATGCTGTGGCTCTCAAAGTGAGCTGGTGTCCCACCATGACTCAATGAAGCTAGCCTAAAGCTAAAGCGCTGAATTTTATATTCATACTGAAAGAAACTGGATTTAACGTGGAGTAGTCACATCACAAGCAAAACCTGATTCACAGAGTAAGGTCACTACTGGAACAGCATATTTACCTGATCTGTGATTCTTAGGCATTGTGGTCACAGTTATAAAACAAACAAACAAACAAACAAACAAAAAAAAGATATTAGTGTGTTTATGTAATGAATTTATGTAAATAAAAATAGTAGTGTGAATAAACAATGATCTTATTTTTCATATTAGTAATCATTTTATCATTATATATGAAAGATCAAGTATATTGCAATAATTAGAAATGTCAGAATACATTGAATTTTCATACATTTTAATGAAGAAATAGATTATAGATGAAATAAGCATTGTAATATTTCACAAGTCTACTAAATTAAATGTATGACAAAATAAGGAACTTTATTAAATTGATGGAAAAATCATGTAAATCAAACGTTGCCATAAATCAGTCCTTCCTGTTGATTTGCTACATGGTCTACAGCAGCCCAATACAACTAGAGATATGAAAGAATAGACCACCTCAGTATAAACTGCACAGAAATATCTTTACCCTCATGACAAATCTTGTCTTTGCCCCAAACTGTAGAGTTATCTCTAATAGTGATAAAGAAAATAAAGCCACCTTCTTGTCTGATTGGGTTTGAAGAATCCATGTTGATCGAGCTTTGCCGGACGTAATGTGAGGAGGACCACGGGTCATTAGGCATTCTGATGTTCATTTTCATGCCACAACTAATGTGTCTGCTGGACTTGACGCATCAAGGAAATAAATCATTAGCTTCACAAGGCAAATTACGCATGGATATTTACAAGGATGTGGAGGTTGCAAACAAGGAAAAGGTCAGCGTAGTCAGGCAGGCTTTGTAAATGTTTAATACTGTGCCCTTTTAGATTGTGCCAGATTCGCTTCACATGTGATCAATCTGACTGAACTTGAATATCACGACTCATTTGTGGGATTCTTTGCGAAGACGAGCAAACTGATCAACGGAGGGCAGTGCCTTGGCTCGTGTCATGTTTACATACATTTATGTAACAGCGTACTGAAGAGCTAACAGTGTCTGCGACTCACTCGGCACAAAAACAAGATTGGAACAAACCAGATTTTTACATTTTTTTCTTACCCTGTTGCCTTTGTAAGCCTAGCAGAAAATGAAAACACCTCCTCAATGTAATTCTGCAGCGACAGCATGCGAGCTGTACTGTACCTACAAACCGCCGCTGTCACAGCTGAAGATATACAGTGCTTCTGGGAAAGTTTCCTCGGGCCCGCCCACCAGAGCAGGAGAGCAGCCACTCACATGAGTCGGCAGGCCTCTCCGCATGTGATGATTGCTCTGAGATGCAGCTTTTGAGGGATCATAAATTATGAACAGCTGTGTGCCCATTCTCATAATTTTTACACGACGATTATCATTTTGCACTCCTTTCATGCTACCAGAAGTGGGGCGCCCGTAGCTTTCATTCTCTTTGGCCTTCGTGGCCACACATTTTATTTCAGTCAAAAATTCCACATCATTTCTCTCTCTCTCTCTCTCTCTCTTTTGTTTTTTCATTTTTAATAGCATTCTGCTTTGTTGCTCTGATGTCCAAACAAATGTGGAAATGATGCAAATTGTCTAGTGCAGAATATCTTAGAAGTTTCCCATCATGCATTTACATTGCATCTCCCCTGCATTAATATTGCATCAGACTTTGCAGCCCCCTTTTTTTTTTTCATATGTTATAATGTGAAACTGAACATACATATTGAAACACACGAACCTTTTCTCTCTCTCTCTTTGCCAGTTCATTATTATGCACACTGACTTTTGGAAGAAAAAAAAAGTACAAAAATTAGATTTTTCTAAACAATTCCTCTGTGGGGCAGAGCAATAGAGCAATTCTAATTCACTGTTGCCTTAACCGAGTGCATTTAGTGAGATGAAGGACTTCTACCATGGCTACATCTGCAAGTCGTATCAGATTAAATCAAACTACCATAGCTCATAAGCTATGTAAGAACTGAACCATACATTCCCGTCACATGTTTCAAATGCAGCATGAAATAATAAGTTTGCAGAGTCTCCCGAGGCATCATCAAACTTCAGACTGTGTTAATAAAAGTGGAGAATCTATTTTGGGCCTCCCTTACATCAGACCCCGCTTCATTTTGACCTTTATTCTAGCGATCAGTGAGTAATCTCCCAACTACACCCTGATACGGGCCTGCGAATACTGCTGCATTGTGCTCTGAAACCGCTCCAGTGAGAGCAGATTGAGTAAAGACTACAGAACATTTTAAAATTCTTGGCCAGGAAGAATCAATCTGCAGCAGTCCACGGGGAAAAACGCTTAGCTCGACATTTTCGCCGTTCTCCTTGTGTCTTTATTCCTGCCCATAAACTTGAATAAGATGACAAAGCAACCGGAGCTGTGAATGAGTGTGAACATCTACAAGAATCTAGTTGTCGGACGAGATTTCAGGATGTAAAAACCAGTTATCGTCAATTGTTTTTATGTCCTAAATGGCAGAATAGTCGCAGAATGTAGTGAAATATTTTAATTTCTTTAGTGCCCCTCAATGAAAGGCAGCAGCAAAGTGATCACGTAGACGCTGCTGAAGCTATGAAGGCTTTGTTCCCTCTGAGTCGCACCAGATCAGATTGATTACTCTTGGCATGCACAATTTATTTGACTTCATTGTCCTCCCACTCTGTTGTTACTGCTTGTGTCAGAGATGTGCCTATTCTGCGTGTGTGTGCATGTTGTGCGTGATAAGAGCGAGTGTGTATTAGTGCAGCTACAATTTCACCGGAGTAGTTAGATTGTAGAACAAGTCATGATACTTTTATTGACCTGATCGAGGGTTTCATGCGCGTGTGAGTGAGATTTTCTGTGTTCCATGCTGCTTTACTGTACGTCCATATCGTGCACGCGCTTGTTTGCATGCATGTACGTCTGATGACTCCGCCTGTGCGTGCGCCTGTGTGTGAATGTGTTTATTTGTGTGTCTCTCTTGTGTTTGTGCGCATGCAGGGAAGTAACGTGATGGAGGACCAGGATCTCAGAGACATCGGGATCACTGACCCAGGACACCGAAAGAAGATCCTCCACGCAGCACGCAGCTTGCCCAAGGTAATTAACATCATAACTTACCCTGAGCACCGAAGAACAGTGACTGACAGTGGCTCAGTAAAAAAAAAAAAAAAAAAAAAAAGAAGCAGAAATCCAAGTTCTTTCGAAACAATAGCAGACGAGCCAAAAATAGATGAATAAAGCGAAAAGTGTTTTGGATTGATAGATAAAATCTCACATTGCTCCCCTGAACTCTAGTTCATGAGAGCTGAAATAGAAACCTTCCTCATATGAAACACAGTAAATGCTTTTAGGGCACAGAATGAACTGAGAACAAATCAAAAGTGCATGAAAGCAATAAAAGTGATTTATTAAACAAATGGATCTAAAAGAGTCATACCTTATGTGAAATGGGTTAATAGAGATTGGTCTAACTTAACTGTCAATATAAAGTCAGAACGTGTGTTGTAGCTGTGAAAAGTCTGGCAAGAATAATGAAAACACTTATTGATTATGCTTAATTAAAAAGACATTGAGTGACGTGAGGGTATACTTAGGGTACACAGAGGTGCTTTGAGCTAAATGCTAACATCAGCATGGTTGAGGCAATGCCCCGCTTTAGTGAGGCAGAATTTTTTTTTTTTTAAGAATAGAAAAGAACATATACATTCCTATTTTAACCCTCTATGCATCTCTATGGAAACAGCACAACCATGGCTAGAAGTAGAGAGAACTCAAAAATGTCTTTTGTGCAGTATAACCAAGTTATGATGCCATAAATCAGAAAAAAGAAGAATAAAAGGTGAATTTCCTTGATTATTTATTTTACACAAATTTAAAAAAAAAAAAAAAGAAAAAGTGAATTAAAAAGTACAACATGTTTCAATGGGTCCCCAGGTGTTACCATTACTGGAAAAAATAATAGATATTTTACATTTTTAGAACTGCTAGGTACACACGAACTGGTAAGATATTTCACCACGCAGAATGTATCATTCAGCGACTTACAGTTTGCTCATCTATATATGCTCATCAATATATTTCTTTAATGAAGTATATTTCATTCTTTTCTCAGTCTCTCCTATCGTCTGTCTCTGCTATGTGTAAACACAACCTGCAGTTCAGCCAAATAGCACACTTGGTTTGCAGCTGATTGTGTCATGGCTTCTTGTCATGGGTTGCATGAAGGACAGATTTTTACTTTTTGACAGAATCTAATTAAAAACATTTAATTTTAAAATGAGTCATGGTGAATGATGTCTAGATTTTTTATTGACCATTAGAAAGTTGAAAATCCAATGATTCTCTCTGTTTTTATGGTTTCTGACGGTGCAGTTTTATAGATTTTTAAAAGAGAACCTGCCGCCAGGTTTTGGGGGTTCAGAGCCAAGTCAGGTACAGCTACAGTCCTTGCTGACTTACATGTGTCTGTCTCTGCAGGTAAAAGCACTGGGCTGTGACGGCAGCACATCTCTCGCCTCCTGGCTGGACGGCCTCGGCCTGCATGAATATCTGCCCAACTTCCTTTCAAGCGGCTACCGCACGCTGGAGTGTGTTAAGAACCTGTGGGAGCTGGAAATCGTCAATGTAAGAAGCCACTGATTGCTGTTACCCATTGTTGGTGGACTCAGGGGATATATGTAGCCATCAGCTTTAAATTCAGCTCCACTGTGGACCCGAACTCACTACTCTCCTATACGACAAGGCCACCTTGATTAGTGGTTTGTGTTTGCAGTTAAGAAGCACTTTACAATGCAGTGCTGAAATATCAGAGAAGTGCTGAAAGCATTTGCATAAAACTGTAGCAGAAACATTTTGAAAATCATCGAGTAATTAGTAGATAACTCACAGATAATGTAAATTAAGGAGCAAAGTGGTGACTGATGACACGGAAATATGTAGTTTGGGATTATCTTTGTGGAAGTAGTGTAACGTTTCATGATAATTAGTAATTAAAAAAGCAAGACAAAAAACTGTTGCGGCTATAGAGGCGATGCATGTCCCAGTTTTGTTCAACATGTGCAGGTGTTGATCTGTTGGTGTGTGTGTTCAAGGTGCAGCCATGTTTTCTCAGTAGGTTTATAACACTTCATCCTCAGCTGAAAAATAATTGTTTACTTGACTTTTTCCCAATCTTTAATGAATTGTGAAATATTTGATAAAGTAGCTTCACCAGGCTGCTAAAAATGATTAAGATAGAACAATCTGAGAAAGACAAATCTCTGTGACTGACCAAAAACTGCCAGTCATCAGTGTTTGCGAGAGTCACAAGTCAAACTCGGTAGGAAGTACTAAGCAACAGCAGCTTCATAGACATCTGTTTGATGTTTCTACCTGCTTAATTCATGCTGTACATATTTCCCTATTTGCTGTTTTTGACTAAATGCAGATCTCATCAGTCTTGGTGGAATAGTTCCAAGAGAGGATTCAATATGACTTTTAACAAGCAACAGAAAACAGTGTAGGATGAGAGCGTCTTCATATCTTTTCCACTTATTACTGTGTAGCTTCTGGTTGGGATAAATGCCAAGACAGTGGTGGCAAAACAGCAGCAACCAGCAACAGCTGCAGTAGCAGCAGCAACAGGAAAGCAGCAGCCAAGCAGCCTGTCTGCAGCAGTGTGTGAGGGACGGCGTCCACGAGACTGCGATGCAGAAAGAGAGGTGTGAGTGCAGGAAGCATTACTCTCAGCGTGCAGAGTAGCAGAATTGCCTCTGAGCATCTTGGCAGAGCTCACTTTGCCCATTACATTTCCTACATCCTCTTATAGAAAACAGCATCAAGGTGATCGATGAGCTGGTTTACGTTCCCATATAATCCCAAGGTCCTTTATTACTATTTAAATTTCCTCTTATTTCACACGCCTCATGCATGCTGGTCTCACTGGGATTCTGGGCAAAATGATAATGAAAACAGCACTAGAAATGCAGCGTACAGACCAGTTGCCTCTTCTGCCTCTGACTCTCACTGAATAAATAATTGAAGCCCTCAGACAAAGAAACATATGAGCCTGTTATGGAATATGTTGTGCCGGCAAACATAATTGCAGATGTAACATTAATCACTCAACATCCACCTTTACTGGATGAGCGTGAATGTTAATAGCCAATTATGCAAATGTACAGTATTAAGATAATGAGTTTTAACTACATAAAATTAACCTATGGTTCCTCCTGTGAGGGTTTTTGACACAGGAGCTGAAATGGCCTTTGTAAAGAGACAGATACTGTGAACGGTCTTGTTGCAGTGTACTGTAAATATCAAACACATTCAAATTTTGACAAATGAAATGGATTCATGCAGCACAGTTACCTGAAAGTCATTTGCTTGTTTGCATATTACATCTTATTGCCTCATAAATTGGTAAAGTCATCTGTGTTTCTTAAGCACTATGTCCAAAAATGGATCGTGAATTATAGAGTGTCCCGAGAAGGAGACAGTGCTGTACTTTAAGCTTACGGCAAAACAGATTGAGGTTGAATTATTGACGAGAGTCATTTCTGTTTGCCTGTGAATGCCTGCCAGTGAGGGGGTGCAATGCCACCAACTCTGTGTCAGTGTATTTTGGATGTATCTCTATTAGCTTAGACTAGATGAATTCCCGCGCATGAGATATTGATGTGAGGCTGCGATGGAAAGTCTCAAACTTGTGCTCTGACGTCGTCCTCTCTAGGTTATTAAGATTGGTCCTCTGGGCCACCGGAAGAGGATCATTGCCTCTTTAGCAGAGAGACCCTATGAAGAGGCTCCATCTAAGTCTCGTCGTCTGTCCCCAATTATGGTAAGACTGGAAACGTAGAAACTGATACAGTCCACATTTGTTATAAGCTCTTTATTGTTTGGCGACAATGACGGTGTCTAAAATCCACAGAAATACTGTGAAACCTGAGGAGGGTGTTTTTTTTAAAGCTACTATTTAACCGCTGAAGTGCACAAACACACTGTCAATGCTAATTTGGTTAGTAGTTTGGATGTGCTTAATGTGCACAGTTTGGATGGCTCTGCACATGCCCTTAATTTAACCCATATTAAGTGTCATTAATGCCCTTAAAAAAAAGATATATATTTATTTTATTTTTAACCAGTTCGTATTTGTTATATTACAGCAGAGATTCTGATTATTTTTCTTATTGAAAAACAGTCAAAACAGGGCAAAGTTAAACACCATGACATGGCGAGCTGTATTTCTATGCCAACATCATTTTGTGAGAAAATGGATCCTTTTCTTTCTGCAGCGGATGTCTAATTTTGGAATGAGATTCTTCAATATCATTATGTTCACAACAGTTAAATACTCAGGGCTGATTTCCCAGGCAGATTAAACTGGGCTAAAAAGAATGGAGAATCTCCATGGAAGAGGCTCTTTTGTCGAGGATTAGGCTTGGATGTAGATCAGGGGAAACCAGCCCGCGTAGACAGTGCTGTCAAATCATTAATCTGTGGCGTGTTTGTATGTGTTTGTCACTGTGTGTGTGTGTGTGTGTGTGTGTCAGTTCCATGACCTCCTGTCCCAGACCACGTCTCCTCTCAGTCAGATGGACCCCTACACCAGTCGCTCCATGGACATGCTTCTGCCCCTGACGGAATCGGACCGGAGGCGACGAGGAGTCGACCAAGACTGTAGTGTATCTCTGCGTTCTTATAGTGAGAGGCCGCGCTCTGTAGTGAGTTCCACCCGCTTTCACTTGATGCTGTACAAACTGAGATGTGTTAGGATGTCAGAGCTGTTCTGGCTGCAACAACTAAAGTTTGAATTAAACTGAAGAGTGCAAAGCCAGAAATAGAAAAGTGGCATTTAAGGTTGAGTGATGCAACAATAAAGCTGCTCTATAGAAATATTGGATTTTCATATTCTTTGTGCATCACTGTAATAGTTTGCCAAAAAGACAATTTTCTCCCTGATATTTTGTCTGTTTCTTCTCAATTATTTAATTGAGTTTGCAGAAAATATTTAGTGTCTGTTAGACAATTTGTGGAAAAGTAATATTGTAAAGCCTAGCACTGCTTCTTCAAGACGGAAAACTGCAGTGTATTACATATATTTAGGATTTTCTCGAGTTCGGCCAGCTAAGCTCAGCTAACTACCTATTAGGGTGGGCTGATATGGAGGAATTCATTCAAGTTTCAAGCATAATACATTGCAAAATATGGAAAATACATGCAAAATAGTGAAACAGATGCTCTATGCAAAGAACTCCTCCAAAGGCCTTTGTAACATCAGATAAAACCAAAATGACAAAAGTATTCATGAATTGTGACTGTTAAAAAAAACGAAATTCATAGAATCATTTATTTGAATGGATATAATATCACCAAAAGTCAAAACATGACAGTATTGAATTATTGCCCTGCCCTGCAGCGGTCTTTGATCTTTGTCGACTGTCATGAATTCAGTTCAGCCTCCCTGAATTTCTTGGTTTCTTCTGTAAGGGGATGGACTAAGAATAACTCGGTGATCAAATTGTAGCATTTACTAAAGGTCAAACTACGACACAAACAGTCAAGCTGGCGTGCCTGGTTTCTGACTCACTGAGGCCAAAGAGAAAACGCAGAGGAGCATCCTCAAATAAGGAAAACATTGTGCTGCTCAGGGACCACGATATGTAAAATCAATACTTGTCATTTCCCTAAAACCTCAGCGTATGGTTATCATAAGTATATTTTACTCTGACAGGTGATTTATTAAAAGAGCCGAGGCCGGCCCACATTGACCCAAAGGCTTGGTATGCATGAATATTTATTGGCCCACTAGCATATCAAAAAGGACTTACGCTAAATTGCTGACGGGACAGACTTTAGCTGTCCTCATATTAATGTACAGCAGTCAGAAGTCTTTTACCTCACCAGCCTGACTGAGAAACCACAAATTAGTACTAACGTGTGGCTACGAATTGTGGCATGAAATACAGTGTTATTTTGATTACCTGAACACAAGGAGGCTTTTTGCTGCCTTACAGAAGTATTTCATTTGCTCACAAATCTCAGTTTAGTCTCTTCTTTTTGCGTCTCTGCAGGACAGACACAGTGAACGGCACAAAGAGTCTCGTCTGAACCTCCGGCCACCGAGCCAATCTGCTACCTACGCCACGGTGTCCGCCTGGCATCACCAGCCCGAGAAACTCATCCTGGACTCCTGTGGGTATGAGGCCACAGTAAGTCACTTTTCACTGTCTTCAGCATTTCTGCAGAAATGTAGAGTTAATGTACAATGCAGATAGACTGATTAAGCATGCCTACTGTTTAACAAGAAACACAGCGTCCAAGATATTTTAATTACGGTATCTTGTGTTTTTGTTCTGTGCAGTTTAGTCAATACTGATGTTGAAATTGTACTCTAAATTGTGTTTTGATTCTTTCTCCTAGTACCTAGGATCAATGATAATCAGGGATCTACGAGGGATTGAGTCCACACAAGATGCCTGCGCTAAAATTAGGGTAAGCATTACTGAAAACCTTGTTTTTTTCCCCCAATGTTATTTGCTCTGACCTTTTGAAGAACAACTGAAAAGTGTTTTTATTGACTGTAGAAATTAATAAATCTCAGCAAATAAATGTCAGACATAAAATAACAAGGCGACAGAGGAAAGACTTGATGTGTAAAACACACCTGGCAATCACTTTTGTCACCTTCACATTGATAGTAAATGAACTATTGTGTTTTGTTGTAATTGACTCTCACTTTGTTTTCTTCTTTTTTTTTGCATCCATTTCAGAAATCAAAGGATTCAAGAAAGGGTCCAGTCGTCATACTTTCCATTACCTATAGAGGAGTCAAGTTCATCGATGCAGCCACGAAGGTAATGTTCATGTCTGTGTTTTCTGATCTGATCTAATTTTCAGCGGTTGATTTCCAGTGTGCGCTCACTCCCTTCCTGTCTCCGTTAGACTATAGTTGCAGAGCACGAGATCAGGAACATCTCGTGTGCTGCACAAGACCCAGACGACCTCTGCACGTTTGCGTACATCACCAAGGATCTGAAGAGCGGCCACCACTTCTGCCACGTCTTCAGCACCGTGGAAGTGGTGAGCAATGCAACTCTGTCTTGAAAACATCTTTAATATGAATTGACAACTTTTGCAGATTTTTGAAAATGTCCTTTGTAGGATGTCATGCATCCTGCAGTTAAACCTGCATGCAGCATCCTATGGCCATTATTTTCTTGATTGTCTTATCAAATGGCTTGATTGAAGTCTCACCCTCCCGCTATGCATGGCATTTCCATGTACCTGCACAGATTATGTTGTCATTTGTGTCTCACCATCTGCAAAAGGTCAACAACAATCTCTTGTCTTTGGCGGATGGACCACTGTGGAGCTGCCTTTGAGTGCAGGGAAATTGTTTTAAGTGAACTCTATTGATAAAGGCTTCAACAAGGTCAACGCACAACAGTTTAAGCCTTGATGATCTGTATTTAACAGAGCTTCTCCATGCACAGAATTCTCTTTGTCAGAAAATGTGTTATGTTTAAACAGGAGCCAGTGGATAATTACACAAAGTAATTATTCAGAAAATTTGAAGAGCCGCACTTTTGCGCACTAGGAAATGTTTTCCGTGTGATACACAACAGATTGTTGAAAACAAATACTGAAACGGATTCAAAAGTCATTAAAAATGATTGGATGCAATAGATTTTTAGAGTGCAAGCAATGTAATCCAACTGATACCAGGTATTTAGTCATGTTTGTGCAAGCATTAAGCTCTTCCTAAAGCTTGTTGGAGAAATTAAATGGTTTGTTGAGCACACAAACACCCCATAAACAGTTATTGTGTCAGTTGAAATCAACTGTAAAAGAAGGACAGCCTCTGAGGAGAAGTTGTCTGGTGTCAGTTTTGTTTTTTTTATCACAAAGATCTGCTTATTATCTGCTGATTTTCACACACTTTGTAAATCTTTTCTGTCTGGACGTGTTTTTTAATCCACGCAGACACAGACGTACGAGATCATCCTCACACTGGGACAGGCGTTTGAGGTGGCTTATCAGATGGCGATTCAGTCCAGGGCGAGACAATACGTCCCCCCTTCATCTCTTCCCTCAGAGGTTATAGAAACCAAAACCAGCCGCCCCGTGTCTCAGTCATGGAGCAGCATGCGAAGATCAGCAGTGAGTACCACCTTACAAACCCTCACAGTAGCACGGTGAATGCGAGCGTGCGGGGAGAGTAGAAACGCAGTCATAACTCAGAAAACGTACGCAGACCTCGTGACCGACTTTCTCTCCGCCGCTGAACCCCCGGCGGACCACCTACAAAAGGAAGATTTGCTGTGTGTGTGGTAGAAAGTGATGAGTCATGACTTTGCTACCAATTTCATCTCACCCACCCCCTCAACTCTGTGAGTCACTCCGATGAAGGGGAGATTTTTCCATTCGTGCATATGTGAAACATGATGAATGCATAGTTTTATTTGTTGCTTCCAGGCGGGTGTGTGTGATTTCCTTTGGGACAATTCTGAGGGCCCACTTAGACCCACCCTGCTGCCTCCTCACTTCTGATTGAGTGTGTTGCGTAAATGTTCACCCTGAGCAATGCATTGACCTCTCAGGCAGCGTATAATAAGCGTTCAGTGATCACTGTCACCTGAGAGAGCTGCACAGCCGGGAGCGCACGTGCACTCCTGGCTGTGCAGCACACACACATACACACACACACACACACACAACTGCGGGACCACATGCTTACATAGACACAAATCACTTTGTTTTACTACCTGCCTGTACGGATAATATATGGAGTAATCACAGAGCTGCATAATGAGTTTCTGGCTGCTTGTTTAAGTTTTAGATGAGAGGGGGGTTATTTCTGTCAACTGCAATTTGTTTTAATGCTATTCATTGCCAGAAAATGTACTTGGTTTAAACAGGAACTGTGACAGCCACACAGTTTGTTTTTTTTTTTTTTTTTAAATACACATTTTCCCCAAGGAGCGATTGACAGTTTGCTAAGCCCTGTCCCCTGTAGTTACAGTTGTTATATCTGTCAAATTTTCCGTTCTTTCATGGCCCACATGCAGTTTGCAGTGATAGCAGTGACAGATTTGTGGCATTTTTTTTAAAAAACAATGTGTCCTTGCTTTCAGACATAAGTAGACAAATGCAGGCTTCTCATTTATAGCCTCCGACGGTCCATTTTGCCAACAGAGGCAGATTTTATCAACTGTAGCTATCGAGTTAATTAAGCGAATGTTAGCCCCCAGAGTTGTGTTTTTTAAAAGCTGTCTCTGGCTGACTTTTTAATTGGTTCAACGGACTCGTTTTGAAACAACCAAAAAAAAGCTGCAAAGGGGTCTTTAATATGCACTTGATGGCTGCATACATGATGCTGTGCTAAAAGAAAGAAAAAGTGAGCAGCCTTACCAGCTGATGATCGGCATAGAAGACGTGGAAAATGAAGGAAGCACACATTTCCTAACAGTGTAGCACTAATCGATAACATTACACAAGTAGGACGTAGAAAAAAACAAGATTAGACTCTTATTTTCTTTTACATGTAAGTAAGTGTCCATTATATTCAAACCCTTGCCAAATGATGCACTGCTAATTAAGCCAACCAGCATCAGGTAAATACTCTGTCTGTGGTGACATTTCCTAGCTGGTGCACCAGACGCATTTTTACATCAGGGATTGGTTTGCCAGAGCTGAAGAGGAGCGCAACAGTAGCAGCAGAGACAGAGTAGGCAACAGCAAGTGTAGGAGTATGGCAGAAAAACCAAAGAAGCATCCAAGAAACAGTTCTGATCCTACAGATTCTAAAAAGAAACTCAGCATTCAGAGGAATATGGTCTAAAAAAAAAAAAAAAAAAGACATATGTTACAAGCACGTGTTGACTGTGTTAAAATTCCGACCTGCAGGTTTAACGTAATGAAAAAAGATTTTTTATGTTGTTGACTAATTGGTTTGTTTTCCAAACGTAGTACTACCACAAGTACCTTGGCTGGAGTGTAAATGCACTCATGTTTACAAAAGACAGTAAGGACAAAGGCGCTAATGCCACCCAGGACTAGTTTTTATGGCTGATCTCTTGTTAAATTTCTTTTTTTCTGGCCAGCAATTGTTTAATTAATCATTTACTTCTGCAGACTTGACTGCTGTGTAGAAGTAAACCATGAGAACTCATTTATAGTAAGCTTTTTATGTCACCCTAAATTGATTTTTTTTTTAAATCTGGCATGGTTGTTCCAAGTTATACTTTTTTAAAAATAGTTATTCACTGTTGATATTACAATTTAAATCCCATTAGGGTTAGCATATAACTCCAGAGTGGTGCAGTACAAAGTGAGATTAATGTGTTAGCCAGATATGTTGAGCCTAAAGCCAGAATTTTCAATAACCTGCTAGCAGCGGAGCTAAGCGACTTTTGGCAATAAAAGTGGCTGTAAGAAGCGCCTCCCTTTCACCAGTTCTTTCCCTGTTGATAGTCTTGCTAAAGATTGTCACCTGAGGGAATATGTTACATCTGCAAACACGTTGAGCTGCATGTTGGTATTCCCATTGAACAAAGTTGTGCAGTTGCAGTAGATAAAGTGTATGTATCACCAACAAGCATTTAGGTAGTGATGCAGAAAATGCATAAATATGTTTAAATACTTGTCTGTGATTTGCTGCCAAGTCCGTTCTACACTGCTGATGGTGCAGCCAATAGAGAATTGACTAATCTTCTGGTGTTTATCACAGAGCACACTCAATCAATCCAATTTATTTTACTTGAATTTGGCCAAAAACTAAATTAATTGTATCCTTCATTATGGAACAAAACTAAATGCAATACTTGAGAATCGTGCTTAAATGAACTGTTCTAATGTAGCCTGCAACGTAGATGATGCACTCCTTGGCTTTGAAATTTGGTTAGGTTGTAGTGTAGGTATGCTAACAATAAATCACCACACAGCGTAACCCGTTTCCTACGTGCTTCACCCTTCAAACTCCAAGAAAGAAGTCCAAAGCTCACAGAGCTGCAACTGCTGAGCCACGTGAATACAAACGCTACCTGGGGACATGGTTTAGTAAAAAGTCAACAATATTTGTGTCAACCTTTAAAACCAGGTGATGAACTGCTCCTACTGGAATTCCTCACTGTCCATTCAGTGCATTGAAATGCTCTGTCCCTCTCCTTTCTCTTCTTTTTTTAACGTATCTTTGTTCTTGTCTTCTTGGTCCTCCTGCCTCCCAGGGTGCCCCTCTACTCGAATGCCGCTGCTGTCACTGTCACACGTGTACCACCCACCGTCCTTCCTTCCTCCCGTTGCACTCTGTTAGCCCTGGAGTCCAGGTCCTTCTCTTTCCTTTCCTCTATTCAATCCTCAATCATCATACATCTGCTTACACACCGATCCCTCCCTCCCCTCCCCTCCGATTTCTTTCTTTTCCCCTTTCGCCGGGGTGCTGCAGTGCACTTTGTCTCCTCGTTTTTGTGGTTCTTAATATCTCAGCCATCAACGTTCTCCTCATCCCTTTTTTTTTACTTTTGCCATCTTGCATTGTCATCTTCCATTTTAGAGTTTAAAATGAAACTAGCTCCAGTTCATTGAGGGAAAAGAGAAGGTTTCTTGATGTGATATACCTTCTCTATATGAAGACTGTTGGCTAAATTGTGCCAGTGAAGGTTTTAATCCATCGCAGTAATAACATGATGGTGGAAGTTGTCTCTGTCGGATGTTTTTTTTTTTTTTTTTTTAATAGCTTCTCATGTTTATTGTACACTCTTGAGACATGTTGAACTTAAGGTGTCATTCATAAGCAGGATATTTTTTTAATAATCAACACTTACCTTGAGATTACTTCTAGCTATTTACCATTTATATTATTGTATTAGTAAGTTAATTAATAGGATAATGTATGCAGAACTGTGTGTCTCGACTGTTCGTGCTTTGACGCGTGTAGAGCCCATGTTGCTGTCCAGCTACTAATCAGCCTTATCTCTTAACTCCCAAAGGTTGGTATCTTTTGGTTTACTGCTGCGGCTTTTCAGAGTGTATTTTTCTGTCAGACATCATCCATTCTGTGGATTGAGCCCTGAGTGTCTGTGATTATAACATGATCACTGGACTGTACCTCTAATCCACATGCACGTGTGTGAGCTGAGGACTTGTCAGTGTGGCGCAATGGCCTCCACTGCCGCACGTCTCACGCCCTCCTCTCGTCCCTCCTCCCTCCCTCCCCCTCGGCAGATCGACCCCCTGGAGATGGACGCTGACATGCATTCCCTGGGCAGCACCACCTGGCTCTTGGACCAGCGGGACTCCAACAGGCGCCCCGTCAGCACCAAGTACGAGACCACCATATTCTGAGGCCGGATCCCCACAGCCGCCCCTCTGCACCCCCCTCCTCAGTTCTTTCCCGCCCTCCTCCCACCCCCCTTACTCTACTCTACTCTGCATCCGGTTCTTTATTTATCTCTCTCACACACAAACACTCACACATATATACATGTGAGCCCCGTGCCTTCTCACTGTGATGGTATAGCATCCCTCAGGGCTGCCTACTCCTGCACCCTCCTTTGCCCTGTCCCAGCGACCCACACCGACCTCCTACCTGCCATGACAAACACTCCCGCGGCTCCCCCGCCCGCCC